AAAAAACAACTAAAAACTGGGCAAGAGATCTGAATAGACTTTTCTCCAAAGAAGATGTACAAATGCCAACATGCACATGAAAAGATGTGCAATATTATTAGTCCTCAAAAACTAAGAATCAAAACCAAAATGAGTTACCAATTCATACCCACTAGGATAAGGTTAAGAGTGAGACAAGACAGACAGACAATAGAATGTGAAAAATTAAAACCCTCAGAGAACGATTAAGAATGCAAAATACTAAAACCAGTTTGGAACAGAAATACACAGAAGTCACCATATGACCTAGCAATTCTGTCCTACATATATATTTAAATGAACTAAAAAGAAATGTCCACATAAAAACTTGTACACAAATGTTCATAGCAGCATTATCCACAATGGCCAAGCCAGGCATGTGGTGCACAACTGTAATCCCAGCACTCAGGAGGCTGAGGCAGGACTGCCATGAGTTAAGGCCAGCCTGGGATGCATAAGCCAGTTCAAAGCCAGCCTGAACTACATAGCAAGACTCCATCTCAAAAAAAAAAAAAGCCAAAAAGTGGAAGCAGCCTACATATGGAAGAACTGATGAACAAAATCAAAGAATTCAGTATCAACCACTGAAAAATAAAATTGCTGATACATGTTGCAACTTGGATAAACCTTAAAGACAGTCTATACTAAGCGAAAGAACCCACACTAAAAAGGCCACATATTATTTAATTAGTTTATATGAAATATCCAGACTAGACAAATCCACAGGAAGCAGATCAGTGACTACAAGAGTTGAATCATAAAAGCGTGAGTATGGGGTTGGTTTTTTTTTTGTTTTTTTGTTAATAAAAATAAAAAAAAATTTTTTTAAATAAAAATGGTCTAGAATTAGTAGTGATATATGCACAATTTTGTGAGCAAACTGAAAACCACTGAATTGTATACTTTAGAAAGGTGAATTATCCTAACCCTCACCAAAAAGGGGGCGAGATTTTCACAGCATGTGAATTAGAGCTCAATTTAAAAAAAAAAAAAACAGGATATAGATTATTGTGCTTAATATACTTCCTGTATCAAGAGATGGTCTATCAAATGAACTAAGAGTTTACTGTGGAATCATCCCCAAAGCGATGTACAAGTCTGTTGAATAGTTAAAAGCTTTAAATATTTGCAGGCAGGTTAAGAGATAATTTGTACAGTAGCAATGTTAGATTTTTAGCTTGAAACTATAAACGATAACAGATTTGTTTATTCACATCTACCCAATATCATAAATTCAGATGCCATACAGCAGATGGGTAGACAAGAAAGAGAGGTTCAGAGGTGCATCAAAACAAATCAAGCCCTTTTCTCAATGTTCACAGCCAGTTTGCAAGCCAGGGAAGAAAACCAACTTTATTAATATATACCCAACCCAACCTGTAAGGGTGGAAATTTGCCCATACAAAGGATATTCAAAGAAAGAATATTTCAATGATTTCATGTAATACTGGAAATAAATTCTGTGCACTAGCATAAAGCATAACCTCCAAATGTGCTTACTTTAGAGTGTTTTTGTGGATGGTAATACTGTCCCTATCACGGTGGTTTGTCACTGTTGTACAGTTTCACAAGTGAAACCTTAAAAAAATACTTCTCTCACCCGGGTGTGGTGGCACATGCCTGTAATCCCAGCACTGGGGAGGCTGAGGCAGAAGAAATCATTGCAAATTTGAGGCCAGCCTGGGCTACAAAGTGAGCTTAAAGTCAGTCTGAACTGCACACTGAGACCCTATCTCAAAAAGACAAAAGAAAGATAGACAGACAGACAGACCCCTCTCCTGAGCTGAAAAGAGCAAAGTGTTACCAACCACAAACTGCCTAACAAAATGTCTCCACTTTTTGGGTGTGGTGCTGCACACCTATAATCTGAGCACAGTACTGGAGAGGCTGAGGCAGGAGGATGGCTGCAGAGTTAGAGGCCAACCTAAGCTATATACTGAATTCAAGGTCAGCCTGAACTACACAATTCTCAAAAAATATATAAGAAAATAAAATTTTTAAAGTCTCCACTTTTTAACTTGCATTAGAAAATTCTACAACCTACCTTTACAAACTTCTATCACCTACATGCCCCTAATGATAGTCCATAGTGTAAAAAGACAACATGTGCGTTTCTACTTTTGCCTATGCTATTTCTCATGAATGGAATGCTTTTTCCATACTCACCAAAATGAAGCAAAAAATCTGCCACCTTCTTCACGAAACTGCCTTGATCATCTCAACAGTTGTCTTTCACTTCTAAACATGCTCATATTTGATGGTACTATCAAATGCCAAGTTTCGTCTTGTACAATAAATGGATGCATATTTTCTCTAAAGACTAAAGGTTCCTGAAGGTTAGGGCAGTTTTTCCAATCTTTACTTACTATATGCCAGGTGGTTAATAAATATTTAATGAACTAAATGAACTAAACACTAACCTAACTCCCTTTCATTCCTAAAAAGCAGCCCTAACTCAAGTAGCTAAGTAATTAGGCAGGTACTCAAAAGTGCAAAGTTACCACAGACATCAAATAACCAAGGTAAGATAAACTATCTTGTGCAAGCCTATTAAAGCTGAAAAATAGCACTGTATTCCAATGCTTCCTAGAACTGCTCCAGTTACACATTTGAGAGAATCAGGGTAATCTGAAGTATCTTTGTATAGGTCAGAGATTCATCCTGTTGACTTTTATTAGCCAAGCTACAGAGAGCCTAAAATTACAACTTTCCCCACACTACCAGTAACTCAAAAATACAATAAAGGGGCCTGGGATATTGCTCAGAGGCACACTGCCTGCCTGGCAAGTGCAGGGTCCCGAGGTCCATACCACACACACACACACAAAAAAGGACTACATTGAAGATCAGCCAAGCAGTATGTTACATCACATCAGGCAGCAGAGACAACCTATATAAGATATTCCTGACATCTGGACAAATCCTATTAGTTCCAGGGGAACCCTCAATAATCAGGTGGTAACCAAATATCCATCTTGATCATAATCACTGTCTGAAGCCGCTATGTGGTGAACATTTCTAATCCAAAATGCTAAAAAAGATTTGGAATGGAGCATTTGGGGGAATATGGAGCATTTTAGATGTCAGATTTTTGGATGAGGGTTGCTCAACCAATGAAATCTATATAAATATTCCAAAAGCTGTAAAACTCTCAGATCCAAAGCACTTCTGATCCCGAACACTTCAGATAAGGGAAACTCAACCTGAAATATGTCCAATTCATCTAAACTAAGGCTTGTAATCACCACCACCTTCCTCTGTCCTCCAGAAAAGTACAAGGGAAAATTAGATTTGAGAAATAACTGAAAATTCATTTTTTTAAACTGAAAATTCATTTTTAGTCTAGCACTGCTATAAATTAAATCGCTTAGAAACCAAATAACCCTAAAATATCAAGATAATCAAAGGAGAATCAAATAGTTTAACTGTTCAGAATCAATTCCATTAAAATAAAAAACCAACTTGGGAGGCTGAGGCAGGAGGAGGATCATTGCAAGTTTGAAGCCAGCATGGGCTACAAAGTGAGCTCAAGGCCAGCCTGAACTGCATTTTTGTCTCAAAAAGACAAAAATAAAAATAAAATATTACATTTGGCAGTAAAAAAACACAGTTGGTTTTCGGACTGTATAAGGATAGCTGCCACCCAGGCCTTTTAAATATAAACTTAACACCACAACTGATTTACTTAGAGAACTGTCTTCTTCAGGAACAAAATTACATACAATAAAAGAGAAACTATGAGGCCAAATTGATTTTAGTTGGGAGACTATCAATATATATTACGGCTCAGATTAAAATACCACTCTGGACTCTGAACTCTAAAACCTCCTGAACTTTTATCAGGAAGGGTGCAATCTGGAGTTTAAGTATGCTCTAAGAAAAAACGATCACCAGATTAGAATACTTCAAAAAGTGAATCTAATTTTGACATTCAACTGAGATATTTATACAGGATTTTATTAGTCATAAAACAAACAAAAGAATAAAACACTTTGTCAAGCAGCGGTAAACAATCACTAATACTAGCAATCACTGACTTAAAAAAAGAAGCCTGAGGCAGAACGCAAAAATTTAAAGTAAACAAAATTAAAGTAAGATTTTAAAAAAACTCCTTAAAACCATCTAAAACAACATTAATTTAAGAAAATTACTGGGTTATATTCATCAATTTTTTAAAAAGTAAAAAGCACTACCGAACAAAAACCAGTCACTAAAAAAGTAAAACAAACACAAGAACTAAGTATTCTTGAAAATAATTTCAACATTTTACATTAACACGCAATTCTGAAAATGCATTCATTTTATGTTTCTCAAAACTTTCAACGGTGTGTATTCTTTTATATTATGGTATAAACAACACATAATGCAGAAAGGGTGACATCAATATAACATTTCAGCAAATGATAGATTTGAAAGAACAAAACAAGCAGAAAGAGCGAATGATAGCTGATAGCCAGAAGGCTGTTTCTTGGGCTGGGACTGGCCGGAGAGGAATTTTAACATACATTCGCAAGACAACCATATTCCTTCCCCTCAAAAAAACTATTCGTGCCTTTATTATTTCTACGAGGACGAATTTTTAAGTGTACTTTTAACCTTTTAACAACCGAAGTACTGTTGCCTGTATTAATGTTGGTGTTACAGTCTAACCTTTAAAAAAATTCACATTATACATTTTCACGCTGAAAGCATTGCAGAAATTGGAAAGCGTCTATTTTCTAAGTAAAGGCTACCTTATTTTTCACTTGTTTAAAGTTTCAGTTTTGCTTTTTAACCTATTATAGAAAACATCCCTTGTGGGACATTGTAAAGGGCAGACCCTCCTGTCAAGCCAGAAGGCTCAAACACAAAGACTGAGCTAACCAAGTGCTGTAATTCTTCCAAACTGAGCCTCTCCACACCCCCTGCACCCTCCCCTCGACAGATATGTCTATTAAATCAGTGTCTGTTCTCCCCCTCGCACAACAAAGAGAACTTCTCACCGCATGAAATTGCCGCTGAATGGACACCAGAAAGCAGGATTTGCATAATTCCTTCCAACGAAACCCCGTCGGGAAGGAGGGGATCAGGGGGCCCAAGCGAACGGTTAGAACCTCCCGGATTCTGGTGGGGAAGACCTGGTTCGCAAGAACACTCCCCGCGGGGCGGAGGTGGGGGCTGCCATTCTGGGTCTCCCGGAGGACTGGGCGTGGGGGACAGAGGACGACGAGAGGGCATTTCCCCACACATCAGCAGCAGCGCCGAGGCAAAGATGGGGAAATAACAATGCTGAGGACAGAAGTCAGACACAAGGATGGACTGGGGGCGGCGGGCGGAGCAGAGACACCACACCGACCACTTACTTTTCGGAGGGGGATTAAATATATGAGTTAAGCCCTTATGGTCCCGCCGGCCGCCGCACAGAGGGAAACGGGACCTTGGGAGAGAAAAACAGACAAAACACACAGTGTGAGAGGCGCAGCTTCGGCGGCCCGGCCCCTCCCGGGGCGCCCGTCCACGCTCCCTCCGACCAGCCGGGAAACGCCGCCCGAGCAGGGGCGGACGAGGCAACTCCGCGAGGCGGCGGCTCCGGCCAAGCCCGGCGCGGACAAGAGCGACCCCTCCTCCCCGCCGCGACACACCGAACACAAATACGCACACACCGACCCGTGCGTCGAGGACGAACTCCCCGGCCGCCGCCGCCGCCCCCCGCGGCCATGACACCCCACTTGGCTCAGTCAGGCGGACCCGGGGCCTGTGACAGCTCCGGCTCCCTCCGCCCCCATCTCCACCTC